TCTTGTCCTTCAAAATTGGCAGTAATGCATTTTGCCACACACCAGATTTGTGTCCCTCACGTCCCGCTGTGTGCACAGATTCTACAGAAAATACTGTCTTTATGTTAGCAGGAACTATTGCTGGGTTGAAACTGGAGAGGTTACAAAACAAATCACTGCTTTCACTTTTCATAATTTAATTTATCAATAGATGTTTTTTCACCTCTTTTTGCAATTTTTAGTCATGTTTGAACAACTGGGCTTGATCAGGCCAAACAGGGCTCTCTGCCAATACACTCAATGCCCTTTCACCCCTATTCTGCTTAGCTCTAGATTTTTCTTCCACAGTGTCACATGCTGTAGCGTCAGAAAAACAACTGCATTTACAACCAGTATATAACACACACTATATACTACATAATATATATTCAACCTACTGAGCCTTACAACAAGGATTTGTGAGTAAGTTGCTTATGGGAAACTGAGCTCTGATTGGGTTCCTCATGTTAGTTGGAACACTCTGATTAACTGTGAAACTCCTACCAGAGTCTGAATTTTCCATACTTCTGAATCAAATGTACTGATTGGCTGTTGTACAATCTACCAGTGTAAAAAGATTTTTTTTAAAAAAACACACAATCACACATAAAATTATCACTCTCTACACTTTATATCTCACATAAAAATGATGACTTTTGTATCACATTGACCACTGTATTGTCCAGTTAGAGAAGGCAGGACACAATTGTGAAAAGTCATCATTTTATTAGGGCAAATTCAAAAATTATAGTCAAAGAAAATAGCAGGGTTCAAGACACAGACAGAAACAAACTAGGATAATCCCTACTCAAAAGATGGGGAAAATACTACACACTGGAAATACTACACACTGAACTAGAAAACAAGGCACTAGGGAATCATGGCTTAGACTTAACAACATGAATGCATGATAAAATTGCCAAGCTACTAAGACAAAACAGGGTATAAATAGATAAAGTCACGAAGGACTTAACACAGAAAGGAAGTGAAGTGACTTGCGGCCAAGTATGGTGACCCATACTCTGAATTTCTGCTCTGCATTTAACCCATCCAAGTGCACACACACACCCGGAGCAGTGGGCAGCCTTTTTTGCTGTGGCACCCGGGGGTTTGGTGCCTTGCTCAAGGGTCTCACCTCAGTCATGGTATTGAGGGTGGAGAAGAGCACAGGTCATTCACTCCCCTGACCTAAAACCCCTGCCAGACTGAAAATCGAACCCACGACCTTCGGGTTACAAGCCCGACTCTCTAACCATTAGGCCACAACTGCCCCCTGAAATGTGAATGCAATATGCCAACCAACCAATGGCAGGACAGGGGCAGAGACAAGATTAGAATCGAAACAAAAGCATATGGAAAACAACAACTAATGCACGCACGAAATCACACAAAGTGGTGAAAGAGGGAATTTGTGACACCCACAAAAATAGTGGAAGAAAGCTCCCAAGTGGTGCAATAGATCACAAGTTCAAATCCCAACAATGCCACGGCCACCTGTGTCTGACCTCCAAAAGAACAAAATTTGCCATGCTCTCTGGGTGGGAAGAATGGCATACAGTCTCTTTCCTGTCAATCATGGCAACACTAGCCAATTCTGGGTGTCTGTGAGCTCATGGATGCAGAAGAGGGTGGACAGTGCTTCCAAGAAAACTGACCTATATACAAAACAAAATTAAATAACTTATATAATTAACTGCATTTCTACTATAGCATTTCTTTCACTCAAAATTTTATTCACAATGACCTGGGGTATTTGCAGGGTTTTTAACTAAATTTAACTTGTATAATCAGTCTTCAAACAGTTGGTCCTGGTTAAACCAGTCTATTGCCTCCTAAGCTTGCTCTATAAACTATGCAAATGTCATGTAGAAAATTACCTGATAAACTGTGTGCAGATAGTGGGTGTGCTGAATGAGATTTTTAAAAATGTATAGCATGAATGATGAAATGTGGAACATAGCTGAAGGAAGCAATATTAAAATGTGTTTCTTTATATGTGCTGAAAGTTCTTTCAGTTGGACTGATCTGCATCTACAGTTGCTGTTCTGGCTGCAGTAAATCATACTGTGGGAGCAAAATGAATTGATTTGCATTGACACCACCTTGTATTTTTTTTTCTCTTAAGTAGAAATGCCCCAAATTTCATATTCAGTAGGGCAAACACACAAAACATGCAATACTCCATATATCCAGTCAGTAAATCAACTTCCATGTTTTTTTCTTTTGTAGATGTTATCAAGGTTTTTTCACATACACATACTTTGAGTCTTTCTCTTGAGACTTCTGTCATTTTGTAAATCTACAGTCACCTGACTCATCTGCTAATTAAATAATTAGAATAATTGGAAGAAATCATTCGTATTCTTTGTGCAGTGTACAGAGGCCAGCACAAAAGACTAGGGTTGAGTTTATTTTCTTTGCAATGATTAAAAATCTGTCTCACTTCTGCAGTCTGATGAAACATTACACCCAACCCAGTGTAATTAAAATGATCATCCAGAACCTTCACTACACACACACACACACACACACACACACACACACACAGGCACCTTTGTGCTGTTGAATACTATAGTGTGTATGATAATTGTCTGCCAATGTCTGATTCATGAATATCTGGAGTACGAATAACAATGTGAGCAAACTTATTAATTTATTTGATCTTGCCATGCTGGGATAAAAAGAAATCCATTTAAATGTAGTTTTATATAGATTTCATAAGCAGTTTTAATGTATTGCCTGCATAAAAAGGGATTTAAACCATAGACTATAATCCTTTCACTGACTTTTCCAGAGCACACTGAATAATAAGACACACTTTCCCATTATTCCCCCAGCCGAGTCTGATTTCACATGTCTAAAAGAGAGCATTCTCAGACACCCCACTCTCCAGTTCTTCAACTCCCATCATGACCTCTTACTCCCATAATGACTCATTATCAGGTCCACACTTTAACATTCTCGCTCAAGGTCTCTCTGACTCTGCAGGTTAGGTACTCCAACCCAAAATGAGCTTCACAAGCATCTGGCTGTCATCACAAACACACACACACACGCACACACACTGAATTTCATGCAGTTTCATGTGCAGTATTCTGTAATTAGGTTCTGTTGTGCTACTTTCAAAGCCCCGGGCAGGAATCTGTCAGTGTGAATGTTCAGATGTTTTTTTTTTTTTTTTTTTCCAGAGGTCACTCTTTTGAAAAGAGACACCAATTAGGCTGAAGCAAGGCAAATCTTCTTCAGTGCAAGATGCATAATGTTCATGAAGAATTACAGCACAGCCTTTCACACATCAGATCAGATTCTGTTTTTCATGTTACTGGACACCATGAGCTAAAAAGGTTCTGGAGGTATGTCATCTCTGCGCTAAACCACTGTCTGGTTGGCATTTTTGTAAAGTATCATTTGGAGGCCAGCCATCTTATGCTTGACCAAATTCTGTATAAAGATTCCTAATGAAGCCAGTTGGCCCAGGGGCAAAGTCCCAGAAAAAAATGCATGAAAATCACTGTTTCTTTTTAATATCTGAAAACTGAAGCTGATATTTTTTCTATTTTCATTTGGCCAAAACTTTTATCCAGGGTGAGCTATAATTGAGAGAGGATAACATTCCTAGCAACTCAAAGGACCCACAGTGTCTCTCTGGCAGTTGACAACTTTCCACTTACTAGTCCAACTAGAAATGAAAATACCATGGCCCTATAGTGTGTCAAATAGGGAATAAAACACAGCAGTTGTAGAAAAATAATCAAGGGGTGGTGTAATGAGGCCCAGCACGAAGTGGAATTACTGTTGCCACTCTGAGGTTATAATAGTATTTTCTAGTACATGTTTTATTCCTCTTATACCACAGCAATTTTCCAATGTGTATTTATTTACAGAATTATATTAAATCCTGATGTCACACTTTTTATCTGTTTATAGTTATTTAATTTAATGCCTAATATTGTAGAAACAAATTAGATCCTACTACATTTTACGTTATAGTAGCTATAAACATATAATGATCTGCATTTAACCCATCCAAATGCACACATACAGTAGTGAACACACACCCGGAGCAGTGAACAGCCTTTTTTGCTGCAGCACCCAGGGGTTCAGTATCTCACCTCAGTCGTGGTATTGAGGGTGGAAGAGAGTGCTGGTCATTCACTCCCCCACCTACAATCCCTGCCGGCCCAAGACTCGAACCCGCAACCTTCAGGTTCACCTTTAGGTTGCAAGTCCAACTCTCTAACCATTAGGCCACAACTGCCCCCCCCATCTTTTTTGCAGTCACTAGTAGAGATTAGAGGACAAGTTGGACCTCACATGCATCTGTCACCAATTTGTGTTCCAGAAAAAGCTCCTCTTGTAACAAGTGGGGAGAGAGAGCATGTGAGAGAGAGAGAGAGAGAGAGAGAGAGAGAGAGAGAGAGAGAGAGAAGGATGGAGGCTTACTCATTTTTCTGCAGAATGAGCAGCAGCTGTTTGCCTTCCGCCTCAATCTGGAGCCTCAGTGATGCAGGGTGTCCCTGAAACCAGAGAGAGTGAGAAAGAGAGAGAGAAAGAGAGAAGTGACATGGATGCTTAGCATTAGACAGATCAGGGGTAACCAAGCTCTAGCATTTGCAACAACTCTTCAACCGCTTCTTGTTTTTTTTCCCAACAAAAACACCTAGACTACTGTAGAGAGACAATATTACATATTTAGTGGTGTGAAGAATTTTTAAGAAAAGCATACATTGCTAAATGATAGGGAAGAATTCAATTAGCCACCTTTTACCACCACTTCAGCAACATCGGCAAATTGAATTCATTTATATGCAGATTGTTGCATAACTGACACTTAAAAACACTAAAGATGATTGGATGGCAGCTTAATTAAGTGCATCTGTGGTGTTACATCATCTTTTGTCCCACTAGTCAGTATCAGTCTGTTTGGCTAAAATGTAATTACTGAATGGTGTCAGTCATATGATAATTTGGACCGTATGACCATCCTAGTGGTCATTGTGTGATAAATAACACAACTGTCACTCTAAATCAATGCTCTTGTAACCATATTGGAATGTAACCATGGCAACAAGCATAAAAATCATTTTAGGCTAGACCCCTATTCATATTTCACATATTTCATATGTGGTTACATATTTTAATCAAAAGCAAAAAGAACAGAGCAAGAAAACACCCATAGAGATGTAACTATAGCAACAATCGCATGTATTGCCATAATGGTAGCCCACTGATATGTTCGGAACTATAAAAAGTTAGATAAATAAAAATGAGCTGCTCTTGCAGTTATGAGGAAGAAAACATGTGCACAGTTATATGCAGTCACGGGAATAATGAGATACGGTTTGCTGAAAATAAATGGATGCTTCATTGCCTTTTCTTACCACTTTCTGTCATTTTTGTGAGACTTTGCTGGCTGTTGTCTCACATGCTACAAATCAGCAATAATAGTTGGTTTATATGTTATGACAAATATGACACACTGTTTATGATGCTGCTGTAGACTTCATAACAATACAGTCATGATAGAACCTTTTTTTGAGAAATAAGGTATGTCAAGTGACATTCGTTATTAGGTCAGAGATGATGTATCCCTTATTTCCCTACATGTAGTATATGCAACACTATGACATCTATTTTTACAATACCGAGTCATGCTAATATGACATTTAATATGACATCACTGAATGTAAGCTGTTATGAGAACTAATTCCATCATATAACATCTTCAATAGCATGTCTATGACAGAGGTATATTAATCTTATGAGCCAAAGTTCACAAATAGTGTTCCGGGCTATAATAACTCTCTCACTTTTACCAAACTTTGGGCTGGAAGTAAATTTTATTTAAACCATTTGATAAGATCTTCGTGAACTGACTGCAGTTAATTGTGAAAAAAGACAGACCTTAGTTATGTTATACACAGCTTCATGCATATGATGTCTGTTTATGTATTCCGCAGGCTGCTTTTGTGTGTGCACACACACACACATATACACACACGCAAATCTGGGTGGTCTCTCTTTCCCCTACACCTATTGCTTAAGGCAGTGCACATGTTAAATAATAAAGCTGCCTTTTATTGACTCCACTATGAAAACAACACACAGGAAGCTTACAATAATAAATGCCTTACTTCAGCATATTTGCAACAGCTAAATGTTTACTGTGGCACAAAAAGATGACTATAATTAACTGCAACTGTGGCCTACTCCTCCCCACAGAGCTTGCGATTCCTAAGACCAACAGCAAAGACGTTCATCTGTACAAGAT